GGGAGGGCGGGGCCGCGCCCAGAGCCCCGCCCCCCCCCCAGCCAGGAGCAGGGCAGACGAGGGGCACCGGGCACCTCCCTCGGGATGGGCTGGGACGTGGGCCCGCAGCAGGGCCCGTGGCCGGGCAGGGCAGGGCTGTGGGAGCTGGAGACCAACCCTGCTGCCATGTCGTTGGGGCAGGGACTGATGGCCCCAGGGGGCTGACATGGGGTCCTGGGCCAGGGCCAGGGTGGGGGGAGCCCAGGGAGGGGTCAGGGCTGGCAGTGCCCTCGGGGCCCTGGCAAGCACATACTGCATGGAGGATGATCAGAGCTCATTCGTTGGTACATTTCCACATGGTCTGTCCCAGTAAAAATGCATTTTGAAAATAGGTGAAAGGCCCTAACAAATTCTGGAGCCAATTTCCAACTAGTCACCCCGAGATCAATAGCCACTATGCAGCTCTGGCTTACTTACCTGCAAGCAAGACTGCAGAAGAAGTCTGTAGTTCCTGGGAACATTTTTTAAGTAAAAACCAGAGCATTTGTGACAAGTAAGACTATGCTACCAAATTTAGACACCGTTTAATGTATTTTTAAATACTCTGTTACCGCTCTGCAACAGAACATCGAGATTTGCTGCTGGTACGTGAAGAAAAGCCTTCCTAGTCCCTTCCCTACTACAGGGAACCCAAACTTCACTCTGTGATTCCTCTGCAGGGGACCTACAAGTGTTTACTTCTCATCTCCAGTTTGATAGGAAGTATTTCATTCACTCTTGACTGACATTCAATATTACAACAGCTTCTGAGAGGCTTGCAAGTTTCCCAGTGTAGTCAAAACACATGGCATGTGAGGTACAGAGATTCTCCATATATGCAGTTTTTCTGAAATCAGTGAGAGTTTGTGACATGAATACATTTATAGATATGCTCCATTTGCCCAAATGAAATCAAGTAGGAAGCATGTCCCAATGACTTACATCCCAATCCTCCGCATCTCATACCAGGTGTTCCCAAAACAGGATGTTTGTACCAGTTAAGAGTCTACGGGTGACTCAGAAAGTCCCCAAATGGTCAGAAGCTGAAGCTCTGTCCTGGTTCCAGTTGGCATAGAGTTAATTT